ACAAAAAACTTAACTTTATTCGAATTTAGTGCATTGCATAGTTATAACAAGTGAGAACATACAGCGCTTCTAATAATGTCTAAATCCTTCCAACAAACAATTTAAACAATTTAAAGTAAATTTGACAGCAAAGCTTAAATCCTTAAAGGGCCAGTTCATCCAAAAAATAACGTTTTAAGAGTTATATTCGAACTTGGTGCATCACAATTAGCTACAAGGTTAGTGAGAACAGTGATGTTTGGTGGCATTGCTTTTACTTAGTGTGATACATCTTCATGTGTCAAATGTGAATATGTGCATCAACAAATAAGATTTGAGATCTATGATGGAGAGTACAATTCAGAAAAGAATGACTTTTTCAGAGAATTTTGGCCTGTTTCTCACACAAAGTGATCATATGATATCAGACGACTTGGAATACAGTGCACAAGTCATATGGACTTCTTTTATAATGTTTTAATGTCATAATGATTTTGTCCTTTTGTAGCTTGATATCTCCAGTCCCCATCCACTTTCATTGACAATCCCAGTCCTCATTCCCTTGAAAGATGACCACGGCTATCAAACAAGATTTGTTGGTAATAGTGGCTTAAAATTACACAAATCTATCATATGGCTTTTATAAGACATATAAGTCATACAGACTACTTATATAGAGTTTTTTTTTTTAAATAATTTTGGGAAGCTCAAAATCTCCAGTCCCCATCCACTTTCACTGTATTGAAAAGGGCAGCATGAACATATTTCAAAATTTCTCCTCCTGAACATCAAATGTAAATTTTTGGGAGAACTATTCCCTAACCCATAATTTAAACACACACAGTCTGGCTGAAATGCATTATCGGCGCAGTCATATGTCGTCAAAAAGCATAAGGACAGTGCCTAAAAAGATGTCACACTAAGAAACTATGCTCATGTGGGTTTGAGAAACCGGTTTTCCATGCTTAAAATGTGCACCCAACAAACACACAAATCACCCATCGATTCATGTATGCACTCATGTACACACCGGTGGATTTTAAAACTCTATGTAGAACAAGCCCGATGCGTCTAGAATAACCTACTTCAGACATGCCGGTTAACCAGACATGACAATCATGCTATTTACACACACACAATCAGTTAAAGAAAACCTCTGGTTTACAATCAAATCACGCATAAAAATCCAACACAGACATCATCGGCACACAGCTCTGTCTGAATGACACAGGACATGAAATTAACACCAAATGACACACAAATTGATGAGTCTCACACACTCAGCGCCTTGGAGAGAAATAAATCAAGACTGCAGACCCCGAAGCCTCGTTCAAATCCATAGCACACACACAATTCATAAGTCAACTCACAGAGCACAATGGAACGGAGCTTCTCTTGCACGGCTCAGCCAGATGTTGCAGGCGATGATTTGAGCATGTCTGTGATTGCATGAGTGTGTGTGCAGTCCAGGTCTCCACAGGTCTACGGCCACAGTGTGCAGGTTTCCTAGCAGTGTTAGATAGGTTCAGTGCTACAGACTGTCTCTCTGCACACTGCCGTAACAGAGAGTGTCGCTCTGCAGTGACCGAGAGAGAGAGAGACAGAGAGGTTGAGCACTGGGACGCTGCAGAAGAAACGTGCCTAACAGTGGGAACCTATCACAAAGCTCTCTCTCCTTGTATAGGAGATGGAGGAGGGGAAGAGATTCATCGCCCTCTATGGGTGGACTGGAGACGTGAAGCGGAGACTACTAAATCTCAAATTTTATATCCATTTTTCATACCAGCATAAATTATGATGTTGTGACGCCTAAATTCACTTTTATCATTCAAAATGATTTCTTTAATTTTTTTCATTTACAAAATGAAGACTAGATTTTGAAGATCCAAGCCAGCTGTAGAGAAGCCACATACATACATACTCTCTTTTCTGCCACATACAAACCAAGTGAAAATATTTTGGAATATCTTGAGCCTTAGATTGTCTGGAAGGGCAAATGTCCCTCCTAGGCTAAAATTAAAAGGATGCCCATATACCTTGTATCTATTCTGCAGCCCTTTCCTGAGTGGTTGGTCAAACTCTAAACACTTCAAAAACACACACTTGACATGAGATCTCCAGTAATATTTCTATATTTACATATACATTCGCAAATGGCTTTTTTCCTATTAAAGTCGCACAGCAGGGCATATTTTGTTTGCCAGTTACTTGATCAGGAAGATAATGTGTCAGCTACTTATGTAGTAGACCTGAAGATCCATCACAACTCTGAGCTTTCAGTTTGTTTTTTTAAACTAATGATGTTCGAGCTGCAATTGTGGACTTAAACTGGCTCTTTTTTAAAGATTTGATTGAACTGATTACACATTCTATGTAACATAGAACTACAACAATAAATGGTATCATTTATTTCATTACAAAAAATTCTGTAAAATGCTGTGTAGGGAATTTTGGCTACGCTTTCAAGTCATGTCTTAAATAGGTTACTCTTTAAAACAGAAACTAACTTTTTTGGTCTGATATTTCCCCTACTGTAGACAAGAACTTCACGTCAGCAGTTCAACTTAGTTTGCCAAGTTTCAATACATTTCATATTCATAACAAACCCACACAAAATGAGTAAGTGGAGTGTTCAGGGTGCCATTGCCCTTGAGTGAGTACAGAGCACATGATGAAGAACAGGTGCCATCAGAACCCCCAGAGAGAGGGAACAGACTGTATTGAATTCTCATAACGTCCCACAGCGGCTATACCTTCCAGGCCCTCAGTGCCAGAAGGAACATCGTTTTTGAGGAAAGAGCAGTTGTATATGCAATAAAAAGACAGACATCTGTGTCACCTGCCTTATGGCAAGTAAAAATTAAAGGTGAATATATTTCAAATGTTTAAATATGAATATATAGTATACACATAATATGCATTAACACTTACACTAAAATATAATGCAGAACAGTTTTTCGTAAGTCATATTTTATAATGGTTAACAAGGTTATATGTCTCTCTGAAATGGTTCTTTTGGTTTCTCCCAACTTCACAGACTAATTATATCAACACCTGTGACTCATTTTGTACCTGACACACTCTGAGGAATGCTGAAGGCCGAATGCATCAATGTGCAGTGTTTTAGGCACTTTTAATGTTTCTATTGTGATGGCCATAGTGTGAATATAAGTTTTTTTTGGACCAAAAGAAGTGCCTAAGATTCCGTTCTATAGTAAAAAATATCCCTTCATTCCATCACACTTGGTTAGGCCTTTGCGTTAACACTGAACAGGCTGTTTTTGATACTGTACCTTTAAGACTTATACAGAGTTCTGGCATGAAACTCTAGATGGCGCAGTTCGATAGGTCTAACTCAATCTGACCTAATGACATCATTATCACATGGCACAGCTGATTGGTTCTCTCCTGTATCAGTAGCCAATGAGCTCGCTGCTCAACATTCAAATATATGACTAGTGCTTGCCGTAGCAGTTGCAGCTTGCTTCAGAAACCCTCCACCTTCCCCAGCTCCACCTGTATAGATCTACTACGAGGTGATTCATGTATGGGGGTTATTTCATGTATGTTATATTTGCAGCAGTAATATTTCTTACATTCTCACAGCAGCATGTTGTGGATGTATTGGCAGTAGCAAGTCTTGTGTACTTGCTCTGCCGCAGCAGCAGCAGCAGCGTTGCAAATCTATTCCACCAAGACCAAATACATTAACATTGTCATGTACATTACCATGCCAATCCCTCTGAGAGTTGTCATGACAGAACTATATTTAAATCACATTTGTTATGACTGGTTGACCTAAAAATAAGTAACAACATCAACACCAAATTATTAAATACAGAACTGCATTGACATGTAAACAAAAAGTAAGTAAATGTGTTTACTGTTTATGCCCTGTTGAAAAAAACAGCATATGCTGGTTAGGTATGTTTTGACGCTGGGATGCTGGTTTAAGCTGGTCCTTTACTGGTTTATGCTGGTCCTTTTGCTGGTTTATGCTGGTCCTTTTGCTGGTTTATGCTGGTCCTTTGCCAGCACATGACCAGCATAAGCCAGCAAAAGGACCAGCATAAACCAGCAAAGGACCAGCTAATACCTAACCAACATATGCTGGTTTTTTCAACAGGGTGGCTCTGAATGACCTCACAAAAAAAAGAGTATGGACTTTTTTTCCCATAATACCAACCATTTAATTAACTAATATACACCAGCTTATGCAGACCTAG